TATCTATGGACAAAAATTGTTAGTGTAATCACAGGACTCGACAGTAATAAAGTTGACTGCTGGGTCATAGTGAAGGAATGTGCCAAGAGTCGGGAGAGATTGGTTCTGAAGAGGATAATGTTGATAAGATGGCTATCCGTAGAAGATGGCCTTGAGCAGCAGCAGTGTGTGTGGAGTCGCAACACCAGCTAGCGAGTCAATACACGAGACATGCTTTACTGTTTAGCAAGTGTTACCTCTGTATACAGTTCACACTGTAGCCTGTTGGCTCAATATTTTAATACAATCTATATTAAAGTATAACAGGTACTGAAATGCAGCGCTGCAAACCATAACATTGTTTATCACTGGATGGTGAAAAAATGGCTAGCCTAGCATAATAGTGTACATTAACCTAAAAGGCAAATTACCAGATTGTTTAGGATATAAGCTCTAGTTTCTGCTGAAGTTAGCGTATCAGGCTGGCTGTGATGGCCATATGGGTTCTTGTCAAGCTGCTGGAGTAGAAATAATAGAATTTGTCCACGGGTAAGGAATGGAACGGTGACTCATTGAAAGATAGGTTCTGTAATGATATTTTCCCGTGGTGGCTGTCTTGTAGTCCCCGAGGGAGGGGATGAAGTATTTTCCTTTACTAGTTTTAGTAAAGCATCACTTCAGTTAACTTCGTGAAAGCATTTTCATTTGTGGCTATTGCAGTGTTGTCCTTAATATTGGTATCACTGGGAATGTTAATGGCAGTACATGCACTATGTCGGCAGCTTGGCTCTGACTGGGGGATGCAGTTCATTTGGTTGTCGCAGTTTTTAAACGTTAATTGTATTAGACTTTCTCTAACTTATATATAGTGGCATTATTGGGGCAGTGAACAAGGGCAGTGTATGTTGATGTAATTTAGAATTATGTTGGTGTCATGGTTGGGTTTATGTTTACTCAGCTGTCAGGCGCCCAGCGCTTCGGATTCGTAGTCCTGAGGTTCCGGGTTCGATCCCTGATGGAAGCAGAGACAAATTGGACAAAGTTTTTCACCCTGACAAATTGGGCAAAAAGTTTTTCACCCTGATGCCCCTGTTACCTAGCAGTATATAGGTACCTGGGAGTTACAGCTGCTACGGGCTGCTTCCTGGGTGTCTTAACAAAAAGGAGGCCTGGTCGAGGACCGAGCCGCGGGGGACGCTAAGCCCCGAAATCATCTCAAGATAACCTCAAGAAGATGGTATCGAGACTGCTGTCGGTGGTTATGGGTTATGCAGTGTTTGCAAACCTGAAGCCCGTAAAACCATGTCAGGATAACTTTGTTCTATGGTGTAGTTTAACCCCCCCCCCCCACACTCCGAAACGCAGTGCTCAACATGCACCCACTCGTGGACTCTAGTGAATGAGAGAATAGAATGAGAGAGAGGGAGGTAAATGCATCATGAGATGTTGACGGACACTACTTTCGCCGTTTGATAGTTTAGCACATGTTTGAGCTACGGTGTCTTGGGGTATAAAGGTATCATATTCAAGTACTTGAGTATAATATATGCAAATAATAGTTTGAGGTGTTGACTAGACAATTACGGATGACTGGTCACACTGTTGGACGTTCTTGTGATACCATTGTGCTGTGGTGGCATCCTTGGCGGTAATGGCGAGGTCCTTGAAGTAACTTAACTGTCGTGTTTGTGTTAGATCATACTTCTCGGTCTGCTCTGTATTATATTCTCTTTGGCTTAAAGTGGAATCGCCTATAACAAGTGGTAGGTTAGGATAGTTGTTTTCCCACAGGATTTTGAGGGAATTTTTGTAATGAACATGCAAAATGTGTAGTGTTTATGATGTTTACACGTGGGCATAGCTAAACTAAAGTTTCTTACACTGGGGACGGTTTTTTCTAACAGGAGTGCCGGAGACAACTAGTTCTGACTTGGTAGGAAGCCTGGTGTGCTATTCCTTCCTATAGCTCATCTTAAGCTTTATACCGTACATGGTTTTTACTGGAATACAGCCCTCCAATTTGTTTACAGACGTGTCACCCATTATTGCCGAGTAAATAAGGGCGAAGACTTAAATGAAATATACCCAGTCGATCCTCTATACCCAGGGCTTGAACCCGGTTTGAATCGCTGGCGAGGCACGAGGAAGCAGGCCTTCTGCTGTGCCAGAGGGACAAGCTTATCTAGGTGTGGATACGGGGAGCTAGGTCTTGAGCTCACTGGTGGATATCGTACTTCATGCGTTTGTAGGCCTACCTGCCAACGTTAGCTTACTGTTGTATTGATCTTGAAGCCGTGAATGAAGGTATTGGGTAAACAGTCGGAACCTGGGTACAGTCCAGCCCGCGAGGTCAACGGTTCACCAGCCCACACCGTTCGTTTGGTTGATTGTAACTGACTAAAGTTAGTTACATTAGTTTGACAGTCAATTAGGCTACTTAATGCATTTAATGATAGCTTTAATGATGGCAGTATGATTAAAGTGACGTTATAGCTGATGTTACATGTGTCTGTAACTGTTCATGCTTATATTTAAGCTAGAACAAATTGTTGTGTAAGGTAACCATGGCATGAGCGCAGCAGCACAATTAGTTCCAAGTCCGTGTGGCACGGCCAGCAAGTAACCTGGCGAGGATTGGCTACTACCCGAAGCTGTAGAGATAATAATACCAAGCCTGGCACACGGCTGCTTCTCCCATCCCTCCTGCGCGCGCTGTCTCTACCCACCTCTGGTAATTGTGGGTTGCACCCCTCTTCCCTTCCTTCCTTGCTCACGAATTCTATTCATTTTGATTTTAGGGACTGGTATATTTAACACTCTAACAGCAGTCGTTGCGTCGTGTATATTGTAATTAGTTTCTTGGATGTGAAAAGTGGAATGGTAATCGCTGAACATTGGTCTGTCGAGTCCAAAAAAGCTCACGTGCTGTTACAATGTGATGTTTCCCTGTCCCGTGTGAGACGGGGGATTTTGTATCCCCCAGTAGGTGATACACTGATAGCACACTGATGGTTTTGAATACATACGGTGCATGTTTTCATTGTTGTACTTGTCGCCGTTGACGGAAAACTTATTTGGGAAGGATGCGGTGTGCTTGGTGACGTCAAACAGGTGTGGTGACGCAAGGCTTTTTACCCAGCAATCTGCAATATTTTAAACATTTAAGTAATCTGCAGGACCTGTATTAGATAAGCTTGTAATAACGTGTTACGGGCTCTCTCTCGCCCGTGCTACATGGCCATTTCGTTCTGAGTAGCTAAATCTAAAACAACGTGTGTGTGGTTGGACAACTTGATTGTCGTTTTTTGTTCTTTTCCTCCACACTAAAGTGATGCCCTGCATACTGGGACTTTTTCTGGGTTTGGTAATGTAGGTGACTTGGGACATTGGTATGTGTCGAGTTCGGTGGAATCTGAACCAGGTTGAAAAGAATTGCACAACCTGTCCGAATGTTCTATGTTAAAATTTACCAAGCTGCTTTGTAGGCTCGAGGGCATTCCGGAGACAAGTTTGGGTAGGCTGTATATCAAACGTTATATATTGCTTGTATTCAATGAGCGGTTTCAGAAATTGGACGGTTCATCCAGATGCAATTTTGCCTTCTGTAAATTAAATAATGACGCTCTATTTTTTGTCAGTTATCAGGTAATAATTAAGCTATTGTAGATAATACCCATTTCAATAATAGTCGGGTCAAAGAGTGCAGCGCTCTGGTTAGATAGGTTGGGGGAGGAGGGAGTGTCAGGTGTTTAGTGCGTGTTTGGGGGTGGGGGGGGTGGGGGGGGGGTGATGAGAGTGCTGGCAGTGGAGTGGTGTCAGGACAAAAGGGTAGTGTGGTTGCGAAAACAGTGAGGTAGTCTTAGTGGGCAGCGGGCAAAACACACCGGCCAGACGAGCCTCGACATCCTGGTAGGGCAGACGCCTCGCGTCTTCTGCCTGTAAATTAGCAAGTGATGCTTGTTGCCCTATTAAATATTGGCATAGAGGTTCTCGCCTCAGTTATTGCCTGCAGACCGTGTGTGCTGTTAGTGTTTCGTGTCATAATCTTTCTATAAACTAGCAACTGTAGAAAAGAAGGAAACCTACCTGAATGTGAAAGATTTTTGTGTTTGAACTAATGAAGAACTGATTGTGGAAATGGACGTGGAAAGAATTAAACTTAATTGTCGAATTTATTTTGAATGGCCTAGGTACCACTAATGGGAATTTTGCATACTCAGGATTGCCTACACCAAAGAAATTTGTATCCTTCTCATTCGGCTGGATAATTTAGCGACAGCCAGTGTGGATATGGTTATACAAAAAATAAATAGTAAAAATTTTCTTCAGAATGACACTATTATTATTATTCTAGACGTGTGCATCAATTAGTAACAAGACTACAAGCAACGTGGAAGGGCGGCGAGCTTCATTGTGGCCTTGACTGTCGGGTGACGGGAGTTACCAATTGATCTAGTGACATTATAGGCGGGCGCGGCTGTTGTAATATTCATTCACACGTTTAGAAGTCTTCTGATACTTCATCTTCCAGTGATGCTGCCAAAGCAGTAGAGGGGAAGGGGGCCATATTGGATGCTCAGTTTTGTTTGTAAATGCTTGTATGGTGTAATGAGTAAAGCTAATGAGTTTCCAGTGCGCTGTGGATGATAAAATACCTTACTGAAAGGAACTCCTTAGTGTCGGCCTCTTCGGCAGTGTAGTGACCTTGATATTGTAGACCTAACCTGTCGCATGAAATTCGACGCACTTGGGTGCATTTCTAGCACGAAATTAGCTTTAGCGAAAAATATAAAGCTTCTGATAAAAGTTTCTGTAAAGTGGACTAAAAAGAGAATTCAAAATAGACAAAACTAAACTTATAGCAATTATGTAAAAACAAAGTACAAACTGCTACTAAAGTACAATTAAAAAGTACCTGTGATAATTGTATTTTAAATTCACCATATAAATACTTACAAACCCCATTCAAATTTTTAACTCAAAAAGTGAGAGGGGGGAAGTTGTAAATTTGTGGCGCGACG